GTCTCCTCATAAGACCTCCACCATACCACTCTCAGATACCCAATGAGTTGTTTCCTACTCAGGTCTTACTCCACGGCTTGCCTGGCTGGTTTGTGATGTCATACAATTGTCTCTTCAGTGTGTGTTCTATGCATATCCATTTTCTTCGATATATCCTTTGGGCAAGAGATTCTCGATTGGTTCGTTTCCAGATTTCCTTCATGTTAATCCTTTCTGATCAAACAGAAACCTATAAAGATGTACTTGAGAATTCTTTTTCATTATTTTTGGTTCATTTTTAGAATTCTCACCAACAACGATATGACTGGAGGTTCAACTCCCGGCCACTGGGTTTCGAAACCTCGGTTACTCGCTAGTAAGCCAGGAAAAACGGATACGTTGAGCTTGAGTTTGTGTCTGTCTGTTTTCAACACAGAACTTTGCACCGACGTGCAGCAGTTCAAGTCGCCACACTCCATGTAGAACACAAAGCAAGAGAAAGTAGAAGAAATGCAAAATAGAGACGGTAAACAGGGATATGGGACAAAAGGAATAGTAATAACGAAGAGCAGTATAGTTTCATTGGGCATTATAAGGCACAAGAAGTGGATGCATCTGCGCCAGCCATTGAGAACGATTTTGATCCATATCACCGATTGTCTTCAGCCATTTGTTTTCACCGTCCCGAGGACAACAACCATTCAGGAAGTCTACACCTCCCAGCTGGCCTAAACTAACTGTTGTGAATTTCATTGACTGATGAAGCCATGTTTTGGTTTGACCGCCGCCAGCTCTTTTCCAGCCTGACCCTATATTAGCTAACTTAGCTCGTCGAGAAAGGTGATGGCTAGGCACGCGCAACAGATGTCCTAACCAGCTCAGTTGATGTAGCTTCACAGACTCGCCGATTGATTTCCCCTCCTTACCTAGCACTCGACGCCCAACCTCAGTATTGCCTACCCTACTATACAGCTTTACACAGGAGATAGAACGCAGACACCTGTGATCAAAGGAAGCCAGCCTTTTCATGCCCTCTATTCTCAATGGCCATGTCTCAAACCCATAAAGGAGCACGGATCGGACTGCTGAGCACTACACACGCCCTTTGGTCGATAGCCGGATATCACGTCTACGCCACAGACGGTGTAAACTGGCATATGCGAAACGAGCCTTGTGTTCGCGTGCTGAGATCTCGTCAGAGATCAACCCGTTGGCGTTGGCTGATGCAACTTCTCAAATAAGTGAAGTGGCCAATGTGCTCTACCACTTCACTCCCTATTTCTAAACTAGGAGTCAGTCCTGTAGCATCATCTCACATTTGGCGGGAGCGAACCGCATGCCAAAGACTCGCAGATCGCAGATTGAGGTTAGCATCTCCACCCTGTACAAAAGACACATCTGCTACTGAAATTTTAAAGCTCTTGCTTAAAGCCCTATGCTCCATGCGGAACACAAAATATTTGCATCTAATTTTATCAAACATTTAAAAGGAGTATTTCAAAAAAAAAATATAAAGACACCGACAGCAAAAAAAAAGGAAAAACACAAAATAATTTTTAAAAAATGCGAAAAAATACCAAGAAGTAGAAAGGAAAATAAACAACATAAAATAATATCTCACTCAGTATTGGGTAGTGGAAGCTATGATATGATTATGCATGGTGACAGTAAAGCTATAGTCATACAAGAAGTTATGAAATGATATTTAAGAATGTTTATCGCCAAGATGATCAGTTAGTTTCGTTTAAACAACTCTAAACTATCAATAAAATAACATTTCAGGGTTTTTATTATGTTTTTTTATTGTCAGGTCTAATGTAGTGTTTGTAGTGGTAGTGTGAGTAATCCTGCATAATACAAAATTTTAAGGGTGACAATGGCGTTCACAACCAATGATTGTCAGTTAATATTGCCGAAAGGAATAAAAAATAAGAAAAAACAACCACAAAAACTAATAATTACATGATGGTTAATGACAGGAAAATTTTGTACTACTCATAGTGCTAATATAGTCGGAACCAGTAGATATACGAAGAAGGAATACAGTAAAGTATAAAAGTAAGCCAATGTTAATAATTTAGGTAGCTAAGTATGTTTAAGAAGGGTGGTACCATCATTTATTTCGTTGGCTTCTCATCAGCTGCTCACAGCCCAAATAAATTGTGAGGTTGATGCACAGAAAAGTTTGAACATACCTGCAAATTTTTTCATGATGTCAGTGAACAGAAAGTTCCACAATTAGTGAACAATGCTCAGAAAATCACGTTTATATAGTTTTTACACAGTCAGTTCAAGTTTAAACAAAAAAATATATGCATACAATGATAAAGATGCTGAGTGACTGATAAATTGGGTAACAATGTACTGGGTTCAACTCAAACCCTAGAAACAAGAGACAAGCGAAACTACACTATGTCAGATGGGTGAGGTCGAAGCCAAAGATTACGTAATCAAAATGAAAG